CACTATTCTAAAGTTATGAATGGTTTTTGCGACGAGTTTTTGTTAGTAAACCATTGTGTTACAAAAAAGTACTTTAATGGCAAAAAAATTCACATGATCATATGAAATGTCGAATAAATAAAATTTATACGCATATAGTAAAATCTTCTATAAACTTCTAGTAAAAGAATAAAGCTAGTTTTTGTAATTTTAATAATAGTAAAATTGGTAAAATTGGCCTAGTAGTTCTTAAAGTATTTTAGCTTTTTTCTTAAAATTTTCTTACAATTTTATACAGTAATTGTAAAAAAATATTTCAAAAACTACCAGGCCAATTTTACTAATTTTACTATTATTAGATTCATAAAAGTTAACTTCATCTTTTATTAAAAGCTTATAAAAAGTTAGCATAATAAAAAATTAATTTTATATAGTAGAAATAATAATTTTGTTCAGGAATTATCAATTCATATTTAAAAACCCAAAAATAATTGTTTTTAAAATTGTGCTCTTAATAACATTATTCAGTTTAAAACAAGCATAGCGGTGATGATTGGGTGAAATGTTAGACGCTCTACATATCAGATATTGAGATTAGTATTAGCAGCAACGAATACGAATTGACAAAATAAAAAATATTTCGTGATTGCATGTAATGCAAAACATTGGCCACACGTATAGCATCTGATTAGAGGCTAAAAAATTGTACATACGTACGTACGTAGTTTTAGCGGCCCGTAAAATAAAAATGTGTTGTTAACACATTTGGCCCGCAATTTTACTAAGCTTTTAAATTTTTGAATTCGGAGTGGCCTCTAAGAAGGATGTTTACCACATAAATCTATTATTACTTGCTATTCACAGTTAATAAATTTATACGATGAACATCCAACGAAACTATTTTTGTGTACCGGGTTACCTTTTTTCGTGTTTGTATCACACACACATTATTTCGTATGTGGTGTCGAAGAGTTGTAAATTCAAGTCATGTCAGACGCATCGCTCGTTACTGGTTACTATTCGATAATAGTTGGGGGCAAGACTTTCAAGCTGTCAACTACTGCCCTTTATTCGGATAGTCCTAACTATTTTACCGACATCTTTTCGTCACCTTTAGAGGAATCTCGTACGAAAACCATGATAATTGATAGAGATCCAGCGATTTTTACGGATATCGTGAGTGGTAAAAGCATAAGAGTGATCGTGGCGATTATATTCTTGCGAATCGCAAAAAAATAGTAAAATTAATATAAATTTAAATTGATAACATAGGTTAAACATTTGCAAGGATATATTATTACTCCTCGGGATGAGGTATTGTTAAGTGATCGATCATTTGAAATTTTAATGAGTTAT